GGGCCGGGGGATGCTCAGGGTGCGTGAACCACAGCGGGGACCCTGCGGCCACGCTGGGGGCCAGGCGTGAGGGAGCAGCACTGTGCCACAGCCACATCCCCGGCACCGCCCGGTGTCACCGCGCCACCCCCTCCGAAATCCATCCCGCGGGGCTGAGCCGCCCTGGGGCTCAACATCCCCCGCACAACCTCCCCAGGTCTCCTTTGCCCGATCCCGGCCACGGCCGAGCTGCCAAGCCCCGCTCACAGCGAGCAGAGCGGCCCCGAAGGTGCCAGCTCCTCCTCCATCAGCCCCAAGGATCCCTTCCTCAGCCCCGAGCTCCTCTCCACAGTGTTGATCAATCTGATGGAGCATTTGTTTTAATTTCCCAAATGAGGAAGCAATCTTGTAAATATTGTGCGGTAATTAAAATGGCTATTTATTGTGCGGCATTCTGGCTGCTGCCAGCACAAGAACACGATTAGCATTCCCCTCCCGAGCCCTGGCTGCAGCCGCCCCGCGGCTCCAGGCGGCTCCAGGCTGGCTCTGGGGCTGGCACAGCGGTGTCACCGAGCTGCCACACCCCTGACAAACAGCGGCAGCTCCGGTACCTCCCTCAGCTGAGGAGAGGAGCGAGAGCATCACCGGAGTCACTGCCACTCTCACCGTATTTGCATGAGCACAAACGAGTTCTCTGAGGTTTTCCCTGCTGTGGTTTCTGTCTGTTATTTCTTCTCCACAAACATTCAAAGTGGTTGAGAGCTGAAAAAAAAAAAAAAAAAAAGGCTTGCAAAATAAATGTCTGTGCAAATCCATTCTAAAACCCCTTTAAAATGTAAATCCTTTGGCTGGAGCAGGGCTGGGCACTGGAAGATTGGGTGCTGGAGGAGCCAGGCTGGATGGCAGCAGGGAGGAGGCTCCAGGGGTCCGGGCACCCCCAGGGGACCCCTCTGTGCCAGCTCCTCTCCAGGGAGCCGGGGTGGGTGGGTGATGCCAAGGAGAGGAAATGAAAGATCAATGGAGTGAGGAGAAGGAGAAGTGAGGTGAAAGGGGGAAAACCCCTTTTCCCACATTTCCTTTCCACCAGCCTCCCTCCAGGGCCTTTCCAGCTCATTGTTGGGGATCAATTGGCCTGGTCCCCAACTCCGAGCTGGGAATGTCCCCAGGAAACACCCCCAGGAGTCCCCGGAGCTTTGCACGTGCTGGGGAGGCTCCTTAGGACTCCTGGCAGTGATGGGGCTGCTCCAGCCCTGGGCCTTGCTCTGGGGGACAACAGCAGGGACTGCAGGGTGGCCAGGGAGGTGGCACAGGGCTGGGGACACGGGACAGGGCTGGGGGACATGGGGCAGTGCTGGGGGACATGGGGCAGTGCTGGGGACACGGGACAGGGCTGGGGACATGGGGCAGTGCTGGGGGACATGGGACAGTGCTGGGGACATGGGACAGTGCTGGGGGATTTGCCATGGGAGCAAGGGACATGGCACAGCAGTGAGGGGTGTGGCACGGTGTTGGGGCCATGTCACAGTTCTGGGGCCATGTCACAGTGCTGGGGCCGTGTCACAGTGCTGGGGCCATGTCACAATGTTGGGGGCCATGTCACAGTTCTGGGGCCATGTCACAGTGCTGGGGCCGTGTCACAGCACTGGGGGAGTGTCACATTGGCCAGGGACTCTGCCCAGCCTGGGGCAGGAGCCCATCCCCATCCCTGCTCTGCAGCGGCCGCCGTGGCCGCCGAAGCTTCCCCAGAATTTTTGCCTCCCCACTCCCACTCCTCCCCGCTCGCTCCAGCTCCTACATGCAGCTGCCAGCTCACACGCAGAGCTGGCTCCGCGCGTCATCGCCACCTCCGCTGTCCCCCGTGCCGTGCCCACGCAGCCACCCAGCCCCTGCTGGCCCCAGGAGCACCCATGGGAGCCCCCCTGGCACCGGCACCGGGCACGGCTCAGGAGCTGCCGGGGGTGGCACGGACACCAGGGATGAGCTCGGGGCTCTCCCTGTGCAGCCGCTGCGGCTCTGCCTGATGGGCACAACGAGCTCAAAGGATGAATTCGCCTTTTGTTTGCAGGCTGTGATTTCTGCAGCTGCAGAAAACCATTGGAGCTGAGCAACGGGAGAATTCCCAGATGCCCTCACAGGGCACGTTCTCAAAGTGTTCATCCATCTATCCCCCCCGGCCACGCTCCTGGCACCTCTCAGTGTTCTGCCTTTGCTCAGGGAGCTGCTGGTTTAACACCAGGCTTTGGGGGACCCTCCTGCCACACCCCTCCAAGCCTGCTGAAGGGAGGATTTGGAAGGGAAATCGCTGGGAGCTGATCCTTTCCCAGACTGCGGGTGAGAGCTGGCGAGCAGCAGGCACAGGGAAGAGCCAGGCATTGTTCTGCAGCACCCTGATTGTTTTCCCCGTGTCCCCAAAGTGCACAGCTGGTGGCACCTGGGCCAGCACATGCCTGATGTCTGGGCAGCTCTGGCATCTCTCCCAAGCTCCCTGAGCTCTTCCCAGCTTTCCATCACACAGGGCTGAGTGCTGGTGCCTCACCAGCCCCTCATCTCAGCCATGACCGCCCGTGGCATCAGGACCCTGCACCACCTCCATCCCTGCAGGAGCCCTTGCCATCCCACCAGGCACCAAGAACCTGGAAAACCCCAGGCAGCATCCCAGCAGATCCCTGTGCTGATAAAAACACGGTGCAGACCCATGTCCAGGCCTGATGCAAACCTAATTGAAAGGGAATGAGATGGATTTTATGTCCTTAAAGCACATTAAATGCTTGGAAGTTAATTGGTATTTAATTAGCATAAATCAAGCACTTTAATAATACTCAAGGAAAAACAACGTGGTGTTACAGATGCTTTATCAAAAGTCACCCTGAGAAACTGAAGATGAATGTGCCCAACACATCAGCACAGGAGGTCATGCACTGTCCCCGTGTCCCTCTGTGTCCCCTGCACCCAGGGACTGCAGGCAGTGGCACCAAAGCCCTGGAGGGACCTGCTGAGCCCCCTCCCCTGCACCCCTGGGGAGAGGTGCCTTGAACCCGGGGTGCAGCAGGGAGATGGGGTGAGGGATGGACCTGGGGTGCAGGAGGAAATTGGGATGCAGCCTGGAGCTGGGATGCAGGATGGGTTTTGGGATGCAGGATTGCTTTGGGATGCAGGATGGATTTGGGATGCAGGATGGATTTGGGATGCAGGAGGGCTCTGGGATGCAGGATGGGTTTTGGATTCAGGAGAGCTCTGGGATGCAGGATTTGGGCAGCAGCGGCGGTGCAGAGCCCGCCCGGTGCAGAGCGGGCCCGGTGCAGCCAAGCGCGTTTCCTGCGTTTCGAGCATCCTCTCGAAAGGGGAAGGTGGGAGCCCCGTCACGGCCCGGGGGCCCCAGCCCCGCTCGCACGCAGAGCTGTGCCCCGAGCAGAGGCGGGGACACGCTGGGGTCCCCACGGGCTCCCTTTGGGGAGGAAAGAGCCATTCTGCTCCATTCTGCTCCATTCTGCTCCATTCTGCTCCATTCTGCTCCGGCATTTTTTGTGGCGTTGCCATGACAACCGTCCCAGTGACATCCTCATGCTGTTTGTCTCCTGCTGGGACTTGCAGCGTTTTCCTCCCTGCAGGAGCAGCTGCCGGTCCCCGGCTCACCCGGAGCCCCCGGTGCCTCCCGGGGCTCTCCGGGGTCCCGCCCAGCCCTGGGAGCTGTCCCCGAGCCCGAGCCGGGGATGGACGCTCCATTCCCGCTGTTCCCTCACTCCAGCATTGTCCTTCCCTAAAAACATCTCTGTGCGTGTCTGTGCCCGCGTGTGTGTGTCTATGTGCGTGTCACCTCCCGGCATGGGAAAGGAGAGAACGAGCTGAAAATAGAGAGGTGACATTGGCAGAGCCCCATGGGGACAGCGGGAAGCTGGAAGTGCCCTGGCACAGCAGCTGTGAGAGCCACGAGCAGACACGGGGGGGAGGCGTCTGCGGGGCCCGGGGGATGCTCCGGAGCCAAACCCGGCTCCTGCCCCGGGAAACTGCTCGGACTCTGCTCTGGGCAGCCGGGCCCTGTCCCCCTCCTGTCCCCCTCCTGTCCCCCTCCTGTCCCCCTCCTGCCCTCCAGCCCCATCCCTGCACTGCTGCCCTGGAGCTGGGCACGGTGGGCAGCCCAGTGTGGGGGCACAGCTCTCCCAGCACAGCCCCTGCCCCAAGGGCACCTCTGAGCCACTCTGGGAGGGGCTGGGACAGCCAGAGGCATTTCCCAAGTTAAAATTTCACAAAATTCGGAGTGACTTTACCCAGGGAACGGAGGGGTTCCTGTGTGGGACTGGGAGCGCTGGCAGTGACCCTGGTGTGGCAGTGCAGCCCCCGGGTGGGGACACGGTGCCCATGAGCCCCCCAGGATGTGTCAGGGCAGGCTGCAGGAGGGGATGGATGCCCAGCAGACCCAGAGCTGCTGCTCTGGCTCCTCTCCCCCTGCCCACACAGCTCCACCCTCCCCTTCCCGACCCTCCTGCCTCTGGCAGCCCCTCCAGCCCAGCTCTCCTCCTGTGGCACGGCAGGGGTGACCCACGCTGGCACCGGGTGAGGCCTCACCCCCTTGTCCTCCTGATGCCTAGGGGGACCAGAGGCAGGACTGTCCCCAAAGCTCCCTTCTCCTGTCACCCTCTGGGGCAGCATCATGGGGCAGGAGCTGCTTGGCCAGCTGGAGTGGGGGGCAATGTGCCCACCCCGAGGGCTCCCTGGCTCGGGGGGGTCAGACACTGTGCATGGGCAGTGCCAGAGGAGCCTGGGGCACCACGGACACCGGTGCTGGCAGAGGATGCTCCGGGTGATCCAGTGCCATGGCAGGGGCTGGCAGAGCCCTGGGCACCGTGGCTCGGCTGGGAGGTTTCATTTTCCGTCCATCCTCCCTCCAGCAGCACAGGGACCAGGGCTGGCCCGGGGAGATGCCGAGGGGGGCAGGATGAAGGGGCAGGGGCAGGAGGTTCCAGTGCCACAGGGGCTGTGCTGGGCTGTCCCCGCTGCCCTCGGACGGGGCCCCGTGGCCGCTGTCACTTCAGGAACAGCCGGGTGGCCCGGTCACCCAGCAGGAGCCTTTGGGGAGGGAAAAGAGACAAATTCAGGTCAGTGTTTCTGCCACGGCAGGGATACAACAAGGACACGGGGACAGCACCAGCACGAGGCTGATTTGCCACCCAGGACAAGGGTGAAGTAAAGGCACGTGTGGGCACAGGCTGGACCTTTGGTGCCATCCTGGCCTCGTGGGAAGGAAAAGGGAAAGGATTCTCCAGCCCTTGGACATCCCTTTGGAAAAGAATCAGCTTGGAGCCCGATGGAGGAGGCAGCACAGGGGCAAAGGGAGGCTCAGCCTGCAGGGTCAGGGTCCCAGTGCCAGTGTCACTGCAGGTGTCACCTACCTGACCAGCGCCCCGACCAGGAGTGCAGCCACCATGGGCCCTGCCCAGTACACCCAGTGGTAGTCCCAGTAATTTGCCACCAGAGCTGGTCCAAAGGCTCGGGCTGGGTTCATGCAGGCTCCAGACACGCCACCCCTGGAAGAGGAACATCTGTGACATCCCAGGGGGAAGCAGGAGCAGCCCTTGTCCCCTCCGTGCTGGGATGGGACAATGAGCGGGGTGGGGCAGCAGCAGCCCCCTCCCAGGGCTCCGGTGGGCTTGGACCACCCTGACCCATGTCCTGGCTTAGGGACAGGGGCAGAGGGGCGGAGGGGACAGGGACAGAGGGGACAGGGACAGAGGAGACAGGGGCAGAGGAGACAGGGGCAGAGGGATGTCCTGGCTTAGGGGACAGGGGCAGAGGGGACAGGGACAGAGGGGACAGGGACAGAGGGATGTCCTGGTTTAGGGGACACGGAGCTCACCCTGCCAGGATGCCCACGGTGACGCTGAGGCCGATGCACAGCGGGGCCAGCGGGGTCCTGGTCCTGCCGTTGATGGCTCCCATGCACACCACGAGCAGCAGGAAGGAGCTCAGCACAATCTCAGCCGCGAGGACAGCGGGGACCTGCTCATCAGCCGTGATGGCACTGAAGGCTCCTCCACTGGCATTCCTGAAGTGCTCCGTCGGTGCCACAGCCTGTGGGGAGAGCTGTGAGTGCCCACCGTGCTGCAGGCTGTGCCCTGTGCCAGCAGATGGGCTCACTGTGGGGGCAGCGTGGGCGGCAGGAGGGTTAAAGAGGAGCTAAACTCAGCTCTTGCAGGAGGAAAGCCAGCCCCAAGTGCCTGGCAAGCACGGAGCTGTGCTCTGGGCATGTCCTGGGCTCATGAACCAGGCACTGCTCCGGGGCTGTGAGACCCCCAGGCTGCCCAGGGGGCCGTGGTGGCCAAATGGGAATGGGCAGCACAGAACCCAAATGGGTCTGAGAGTGCAGTGCTGGGGGAAGCAGAGCAGGGAAATGCCCTGTGTGAGCACGGCAGTGCTGCACAGGCACCCCGAGTCCTTCTGTGCCTCGTTAGTGGGCACAGCAAACCTCTGGGGAACAGCTTGAGTCACTGAGCCTGGCCCCGAGCCCACAGCAGGAGCGGGCTGGGGAGCCCAGGCCAGCTGTGGCAGGGCAGGGACAGTCCCCGTGCAGTCCCTGTGCAGTCCCTGTTCAATCTCTGTTCAATCTCTGTTCATTCTCTGTTCAGCCCCAGTTCAGTCTCTGTTCAGTTCCCAGTTCAGCCCCAGTTCAGTTCCCTGTTCTGTCCCCGTGCCCAGCCCTGGCTGGGGACACCCCCCTGCATGGGGACCCCCCTCCTGCCCCCGTACCTTTGCCAGGCCAGCTCCGATCATCCCTCCACAGATCTGGGAGAGCCAGTAGGGGATGAGCATGGTGATGTGGAGCCCCCCGAGCAGGCACACGCCCAGGGACACGGCGGGGTTGAAGTGACCTCCACTGCAATGAGACAGGAGCATCAGCAGGGGGGTCACCCCAGCACGGGGCTCGCCATGGCTGGGACCACCAACTCTATTCCAGCCCTTCTGTGGTGCAGAAGAGCAGGATGCAGCTGTTCCCTTCTGGCAGGGGCAGGATTTGGGGATGTGGCACTGAGGTGCTCCTCCTCTGCTGTGGGCAGCAGGGTGTCACAGATTGCAGGAATCGCTGCTGGGGCTGGCAGGACACACATCCCCCAGGGGACAGGGACCAGAGCAGGGCAGCTGGGCCAGGCTCTCAGTGCCAGACCCGAATCCTGCACCTCAAAAAGCACAAGCAAGACAGACACAGAGACCCTCTAATTAAAACTGATTACCATGAGACACAGGTTAATGAACAGGTTTCATAACTGATCAGCCTGATAATTGCTGGTGATGAGTCAGAGAGTCTGGGAATGATAACCACGTCTGGTTATCAAACTCTCAAACTCACTGGGATCAAACCCCAGCAGAGAGCAGGAGCTGGGCTGCCCAGGGATGCTCCTGGGCTGGGCAGGGCTGCACTGCCAACAGCCCGGGCTGGGAGGGAGCCTGGGAGCTGAGACTGCACACAAACCTCACCTGGGGGCTGAGACTGCACACAAACCTCACCTGGGGCTGGGGAACCCCTCCCGAGCACGGCTCCTCTCCAGCCTCCCTGGGCACAGCCCTTCCCTGGGAGGATGGGGATGGAATTCCCAGAGCAGCTGTGGCTGCCCCTGGATCCCTGGCAGTGCCCAAGGCCAGGTTGGACACTGGGGCTTGGAGAACCCTGGGACAGTGGGAGGTGTCCCTGCCATGGCAGGGGGTGGAATTTGGGATTTTAGGAACTTTCTAACCCAAACCATTTCACCAGCACTCTGTGTGAATTTAGGCTAAGCCCCTGTGCAGGATCCTGATGTGGCTCCTCCTGGCTTTGGACCAAAAGAGGAACCCCCAGACGCCTGCACCCCCAGACCCCCCCTGCACCCCAGACCCCTCCTGCACCCCAGACCCCCCCCTGCACCCCCAGACCCCCTGTCCTGCTGCCCTGGTTTCACCACTCCAGGCTTTGGGGTGCAGGAGGTTCCATCTCAGCTCTGCCAGCACAGGCAGGAGTCCCCACTGCACAAACCTCACCCTGGGCTGTTTTCTCTCCTATCAGGCTCTGATAAATTATCAATCCCATTACTCTGGACTCTGGGGTTTGCCCGTGATCCTGGCCAAGCCTCCTGGGACAGCCTGGAGAATCCCATCCCTGGGCTGTGTGGAGCACAAGGGAAGGGAATGAAACTCCCCAGGGACTCTTTCAGCTTCTTCCTTGGGGATAAATCTGTATCTCATTGCCACACAACATCTTTTTCAATGAGCACTTTGGTCTACATGTTGCTTTTGAGTAATTGAAACCCCATTTTTTTTTTTTCCACCTGAGAATACCCAGAGGAGGAGCACAGTTGGGTCAAAACGCTTTGCTCTGACATCCTTGTGAAAGGAATCAGCTTCACAGAGAATCATAAAATCACATAAAATTTGGGCTGGAAGAGCCCTTAAATATCTCCTAGTTCTAACTCCCAGAAGAGAATGCTCCTGCTTCAGCTTGACCATTTTCACCAAAAGGGGCTAAAAATGGAAACATTTCAAATCAAAGCCAGGTGAACAGCCCCAAACCCACGGTTCAATGGCTGCCACCAAAGATGCCACCACCACTGCCAGCACCCCCCAAAGGGCCTTGCTGCCAAGCAGGGGCTCCATGGCAAGGCAGGGGTGCTGCTGGCAGGGGATTTGGGCAGGGAAGAGCCTGAAGGCAGCAGCAGCATCTCCCCTGCCCACGTGCAGCCCCAGTGCTGCTGTGTCCCTCTGTCAATCCCCTGCTGGATACACTGAAGTAGACAAGGCACAAACGCTGTGATTACTACGATGACAATTTAGTGCATGCATGCTTATTTTTAAAAAGTTATTTTTATAACGGTGTGAGGCTTAATTAATCAGACAGACAATTTAACTGTGCCTATTTTTCCACTTTGAGTTTGGTTATATTCTTTTGCAATCGTTGCATGCCCTTGTGCATAGATACTGAACGATTAGAAAGGTTTATGCAACACATTCCATCAAAACCTTTGCATTTCTGTTCATTTACTTACAAAAGGCTCCAGGGCTCCAACACCCCTTACCTGATGTCCCCCAGGACGGCGATGGTGATGCCCAGGGCCAGCCCGTGTGCCAGGGCAGGCTGCAGCCTCCCGGTGCCCCCCGAGTCCTCCAGCACAGCCAGGCAGCCCATGAAGATGAAGAGGGCAGTGCCCAGCAGCTCTGCCACGCAGGGCTGCATGTGCAGCTCGTACCAGTGCAGCTGGGAGGCTTTGGGCTTCACCTCCATGTCCAGCACATCCAGCACAGGGCAGGGAGCAGCCATGGGGCACCAGGAGCCAGCCCAGGCTGGGGGATGGATGGGCAGCACCCAGAGCTCTCAGCAGGGACCCCAGGAGGCTGCCAGGCTCCCCCTGACTGTCTGAAGAGGCAGCTCTGGATGGGAGGCTCTAAATACAGATTGGATCTGCATTGCTAAGAAAAAAAAAAAAGGGTCATAAAAGCTGCCGGGCCGGCCCCCAGGGATATCAAAGCTCGTTATCACGGCCAAGCCTTGGTTCAAGGCTTGGGCTTTTTCCTCGGTTTTTTGCTGCTGTTGATGGTGAAGTTTTAGGGGGTTCTGCCAAGATTCAGGGTGTGGTTCACACACCTGGAGTGTGGCACCTGTGCCCAGCCCTGGGCCTTGTGTAGGAGATGCCAAGGGGCAGCACCCATGGATAGAGCTGATGCTGCCATCCCAGCATCCCAGACTGGTTCAGGTGGGAAGGGACCTCTAAGAAACTGGGACCATTCCAGTGCCACCCCTACCCTGGGCAGGGACACCTTCCACTGTCCCCACCCAGCCTGGCCTCGGGCACTGCCAGGGATTCAGGGGCAGCCAGAGCTGCTCTGGGCACCCTGTGCCAGCCCTGCCCACCCTGGGAGTGAAGACCATCACCAGAATTCCTCCAAACCTCAGCCCACATCCTGCCGGGATATTCCAGTGCTGGGGGCTCGTTCCCTCTTGCACTGCTCTCCAATGAAGATGCAGGTGAGGGGGCCAAGGGATCCACCAGCCACTCCAAAAGCTGGCATTGATCAAACATTGATGAAACCCTCCCTAAATCCTGATTAAACCCTCCCTAAACCATGCTCATCCCAGCAGGCATCACTGCCTGGAACACCAGATTCAGCCAGGACAGGGGGAATAACGGGGGGACCCCCAGGCACCAGCATCTCACAACCCCCAGCTCCCAGCACGAGCAGCAAAGGTTCCCTCGCTGGAGGGAACTGGGGAACCCAAGGGAGGGGCTGGAACTGGGCTGGAGGAATCCAGATGTAAATGATCTTTGGAGTATTGATTGCCAGGGGTTCGTGGAACACATCCCCAGTGATGGGCACGGCCCGGGTGATCCCAGTGCAGCTCCCTGGGGCTGGAATGTGCCCACGCTGCAGGCAGGGATCAGCCCAGCCCTGCAGGGATGGGCTCTGCAGCCTTGAGCAACCTCCTGCAGCCCCGTGTTTGTGGTGCTGCCTGCGGATTGGGGTTTATAGGAACTCTTCTCCCTCGTAAGCTGAGTAAAGAACACCACGGAGGTTTATGATGTTGTCACAAGGCACTGGGGATGGGAAGGAAATTTCCACTCTCCTGTCTCTGTGGCCACACCACAGACAAGGGTCAGGCAGGAGAATCCCAGTAAAGGCACCTCTCATTGAGCCTCCATCAGCCCAATTCCCCTCCCCAGAGCTCGATTCCTACAGCCAAGAGGTCTTGGCATCAGCCTGGAGATATCACTGGATGTGGAGAGGGAGAGCTGGGCTTGCCTGGTCTTTGGGGCCCCCATGAACCCCTGGAGCTGTGGGGCAGGGAAATCCTGATTCAATCCTGTCAGCTCACAGGGCACCATCTTCCAGCAGCTCCATGGACTCCATCTGGCACCAGGGCTCCCAGCATGACCAGCAGCGTTCCTTTGGGAAAAATCCTAACTTGGGCAGAAGGAATCCAGATTTCATTTATTTTTGGGGTGCTTATGATGAGAGATTAATGTAACACATTTCCAGATTTCAGCTGGTCCTTCCTTGCAGCAGCTCCCACGGTGCCACACAGGAGCCTGCCAGGAGATGAGCTGGCCCAGATCCCAGATCCCAGGTCCCAGATCCAAGATCCAAGATCTCAGATCTCAGATCTCAGATCTCAGATCTCAGGTCCCATATCCCAGATCCCAGGTCCCATATCCCATGTCCCATATCCCATGTCCCATATCCCATTTCCCATATCCCATATCCCAGGTCCCCAGTACCACCAGCAGCACAGGCGAGCCCCAGGAGCCCCAGGAGCCCCAGGAGCCCTCCCTGGCAGGGAAGAGGCTGCAGGGTGCCCAGGGCAGGGTGCCCAGTACAGGGTGCCCAGTACAGGGTGCCCAGGGCAGGGTGCTGCTGCCCCTCCTGGCACACGATCCCTGCTCAGGCTGGTGCCACCGTGCCCAGACTCTGTGTCCCAACACGGTGGTGGCCTCAGAGCACGGCAAGGTCCCAGCCCCACGGCAAGGATTAACCCCCTGTCCTTGGCTTTTAAACATTTACCACTCCTGAGGGAGCAGGGATGTTTGCCCGAGCCTTGCAGAGGAAATGCTCCACATTCAAAGGCATTGATTATTACAGAGCACAGGCCTGAAACAGCACAAAACAAAAGCACAGCCTCGAGGGAAGGGTTTCCCTTGGCTGGGAGCCTCAGCACCTGCCTGGCATTCAGAGGTGCCAGGGGCATCAATTCCTCTTTTAATGCCCTGCTCTGAGCAGCCTCTGGCCCTGGCAGAGATGAAATCCTCAGCACCAAGGTTTGCTCAATGAGATACACGGAGACTCTGCCCGTGGGAAAAGGCGTGGGGATGAGAACAGATAAATCTGTTCATATCAGCAGACACTTATTTTTGTCCTTGTTTGGGCTTGCACCGATTTGTTAGATAAGTGACAATAGCAACTGTGTCAATTAGTACAGGAAGTGGTGGCACCGAACAAGCCAGGGCTTCCAAAAATACTTTTCAGGAATCACAGAGAACGTTTTCCTCATCCATGTACCTGTGCAGGAAGGCCAGAGCAGCCCTGTTTGATCCACCCCCTGTGCTTCACTGCTCTCCTCATTTCACCGTGCAGATCTGCCACTTTTCCTCTGCTTTTCCACACAAACCAAAGCACCCAAACGAGGGAGGGTCTGTATAGAAACCCAGATTTGAGGGTTGGATCATCTTGAATGTCCCTTCCAACCCAAACCATTCTGGGATTCTGTGACTGAGTGTTAACACTGCTTGATGATGCTCTTTAGCGTCTGCTTCAGAGTTTTTTGGAGTTTGGGTGGTTGGGTTGAGAATTCCAGACTGGTTTGGGTTGGAAGGGGCACTGAAAACAACCTGTGCCAAGACCTCCCACCCTCCCAGGGAAGAATCTCATCCTAAAATCTGATCTAAGCCTCCTCTCAGTCACTTTGAAACCATTCCCCTTTTTCCTGTCACTCCACGCTCTTGAAACGCTTCAAGTGCTCTCTGTGAACCGATGCTGGTACATTTTAAAGACCAGAATTCCAGGTGATACCTCTATAAAAGCGATTACAAAGTATTCTGGTGCTGCAAGGAAACACCTCGGCAAACGCAGCATCGGGGTCAGGTCTTTGAAAGAGCCATAAAGAATGAGAGCAGCTCCTCTGACACTGCTTTATCTCCCCGTGTTTATCTTGGAGCCGAGAGTCCCGGGATTGCACAAGTGGAGCTGGAAGAGAACTTGCAGAATGATTTGCAGAATGATTTGCAGAATGATTTGCAGGATGATTTGCAGGATGATTTGAAGGATGATTTGCAGCTCGTAGCTGTGGCACAGGTGAGTGACCTCTGTCCCTTTCCAGAGCCCACGTTGTGTAAGAGTTTTCCTCCCAGTCGCTGTCTCGGTGTCGATGGAAATTTCCAGGGATCCTGGATCAGACTGAGCTGGGGAACAGGGACAGATCCGTGTCACTTTTGCAGGCTCACACTGGGCTTTGAGTGGGGAAAATAACCCTCCAAGTAGGATGAAGCCATTTAGACCTTAATTCTGGTATTTCACACCCTTAATTCTGGTGTTTAGCATTAAAACCCACCAAGCTCCCACAGAAGGGATGGATGCTCCTGGTCCCACACACTCCTGCACATCTTCCCTGCAATGACCTGGCCCCTGGCTGTCCTGGCAGCCCATCCACATTTCCACCCTCAATGACCACATTCTGCTGTGCCCCAGCAGCCCAGGGACCTGAAAAATTGTGTAAATTCAAAATGGGGAGCTGCTAAGCCTGCAGAGGAGCTGAAACACGGTGCACTGAGCCAACCACTGCTTTTCATTCAGCTCCTAAAGCTGGCCAAGCCCTGCCAGGAACTAAATAATTTAACTTTCTGGAAGGCAACTTCTTTTATCCATGTTTGAAGAGCGAGCAGGCAGCGCTCAGGGATGGGGGATGTGGATGGAACAGGGGTGCAAGGATCCCAAAGCAAGGATCCAGAGCCAGGATTGAGGCTGGGCAGCCAGGAGGAGCTCCTGGGGAACAGGATCTCTGCCTCCTATTGCCACGGACACAGGACCCAGCCTCCTCCTGAGCCAAGCTTCCCATTGCATTCCCCATTCCGGGGAACCCATCCTGAGCAGGGCTCCTCTCCAGCCTCCCCGGGCACATTCCTGCCCTGGCACAGGGGCCCAGACATCCCTGGCAGTGTCCCAGGCCAGGCTGGACAGGGCTTGGATCACCCTGGGACAGTGGGAGGTGTCCCTGCCATGGGATTTAAAGGCTCCTTCCAATCTAAACCATTCTGTGACTCTCAGGGATGAATTTTCTGTCACCCCCATCAGTACCAACCCCTCAGGAAAAAGGCCAGGCTGGGGCAGGAGGAGAGGCAGAGCCCCAGGGATCCCACATCCCACAGCAGCAGAGGGCTGGAACCTTCCTGCCTGGAAAAACTTCCTGAGCCAGCAGCTTCTGCTCCAGCAGCACCCTCCCCATCCCAACCTTCCCTGGGGACAGCTGCAAGATTGATTCCTCTGCTTCAGTCAGCACAACCCTGAGCTGCCCACCCTGTCCTCCCCCAGCAGCTGCCAGGGATCCCAACTCCTTTGATCCTGCTGGAACCCTGGAGCACAGGGTGACCCAATTTCCTCACCACTGCTGCCAACACCCAGCAGAGCCTGGGAGAGCTTTTGCAGGAGTGATTTCCCTTCTCCCAGCTGGGAATGCAAAAGCAAACTGAGGCACTGTGGTTCCTCTCACCCCACAGCAGCAGCTCTGCTCCAGGGCCACATTCTCCATTTAGGGGAGCAAATTACACAAAATAGAACTGAGGAGCAGAGACATTATTCCCAAACACAAAGGGATGAAATTGTGATTAAAAACACACAAAAGGCTGATGGAGCCCAGGCCATCTCTGCAATGAGCCGTGCTCAAACCCACTGAGATGAAAACTGCACCAGCTCAGGTGGGAGCAGCTCCAAAGGAACAGATCTGGAGGTTCCAGGGCAGGTACAGCTCCAGCTCCCACTCACAAAGATGCTACAGGAGGCTGAGGGAACGTGGTCCCAAAATTAAACTGATAGTAGAGAATTCATGCAACTCTGAATTCCTTTTAATTCCCAAGACAGGAGCAGGGCAGTGTTGGTGCCTCTGGGCATCAGGGCCTGCTCAGGAATCAATCAGAGGGGCTGCAGGGCTGGGCTTGGGGCTCATTTTTAATCCCTGAAGGAAAGGTCATTTCACAGGATCCCAGAACGTTTGGGTTGAAGGGACCTCAAAGCCCACCCAGTGCCAGCCCTGCTATGGCAGGGACATTTTCCACTGTCCCAGGCAGCTCCAAGTCCTGTCCAGCCTGACCTTGGGCACTTCCAGGGATCCAGGAGCATTCAGAGCTTTCCTGGGCCTGCCAGCAACTCCTTTAAAAAAATACTCCTGGTGAGGCATTGGGTGAGAGGAAAAATGTCACAAAACCAGACAGAAACTGCTCATTTCTAGCAAGTAAAACGAGACAAATTATAAATACTAAACATTTATTATTTTTCTCATAGGAAGGTTGCAAGATTCAATTTCAAACAACAGGACAAGAGCTTTCATTGCTGTAGAGATTTCGTTTTGCTTCTTTTAAGGGGAAAGAGAGAAGGAGGAACTGGTGTAAAGATACTACCAGAAGCAGTGCAAATTGAGATTAATTTCTTTCTTCAGCATCCCAGTGCTGAAACCACAAGCTAAGCCCTTCCCAGTTCAATTGAGTCTATTTTCCAGTTGCTGGGACATCACTGAGCACAGCCAGGACCCTCCTCCTCCTCCTCCTCCTCCTCCTTCCCCTCCCAGAGCACCCAGCAGGGACAGCCTTGCACAGCACTGAACCCTGGAGAAGCCACCACGGTGCCACTTCACCCAAATGAGACCTGAAGAGAACAAAAATGCACAGAATTCCCTCCCTGCTCAGGCAGGCACCTCTCCTGTCACAAACACGTGTCACACATCCACAAAAACACAGACAGGGAAATCAAAAGAGTCCAAGAACACTTCACTTTCAGTTTGAAACTAAGGAAGGCAAGCTTGAAACAGGAGTTACTGACACCTTGTGCAAGTCCTGCTCACAGAAAATATTCCTTGGAACCACCCCAAGGCACCAGGCCTGGCCCAGCCCCAGCCTGGGGCAATTCCCATCCCTTCCCTGTCCTGGCCTGAGCCAGGGCAGTCACGGGGCTCCCCAGGACTCCCCTCCCTGCAGGCTCAGAAGTCGATGTTTGCCAGACCTGTGTGAAGAGAAAGAGAGATTTGGAGCAATAAATTTATGATTTTTTTAATGTATTTATTAATTAATTTATTTATTCTTACCCTCCCTGCCCCTTCACTGTAACCAGCTCAGTTACACACGGCAAGAAAAGATGCTTTGAGAGTTGTTTCATTTCTTTCAACTTAAACATAAAGGATTTGGGGTGAGGAAAGCAGGAAAAAGGTTGGGCTGTACTTTTGTATCCCTTTTTTGGTTGTCATGCAGCAATTAATTCGACCAAGGCAATTTGCAGTTATTCATGGCAGAAGGAACAACACAATACTCAGGAACCTCAGGGTCTGCCCATGAAATCAGGAAGACAAAGCAGGGGAAATACCACGACTGAGAGCAGTAAATTCACACTGGATAAAAGAGCCCTGCTTTAGATTAAGGCACATCCATGCCATGCCCATTGGACAGGTGATTTTGGGCTCAGAACTCTGGAGGATTCAGGAGAGCACCACCACAAGGCAGCAGCTCTGCCACAGCTCCTTTTAGCAGTTTTTCTATGAAAATCTCCTTTTACCAGAGGCTTTGCTGGCCAGCCAGGCCTGCAGAGATCAAATCTATTCCCATTTGCTGAGGAACAGTCAATAAAATAACAGCAATAAAAGCTGCTCTTGGATATTCTATCAGGAGCAGGGAAAGGGCAGAGAGGATGAAGGGGAATAAATGATACAAGTGGCAGACAGAGGTTTTCTGGAAAGACTGAAGTTCCCTGAAATTGCAGCCACAAGTTGAGATAAACTGTGACTGCAACAGAGTTAATCTGGACAAATCCAGGCTGTGGCCATCCATCCTTCAGCCAAACAATTCCCCTCATTTTATCACTTCTTGAGCAGCAGCAACATCCAAATGCTACAGAAAGCCTAAATCAAGTCTCTCTCTTTCACAGAAATTCCAGTCCAGGAGAGACAGAATTTTAATAACAAAAGGATCAGGTAAAAGAGTTAATTTCTGAGGGAATTTTTTTTTTTTTTCCCCCAGGGAGAAAGAGGTGTGGAAAAACTTCAGTGTCAGATGGCTGCAAATGGGGACAGTGCAGAGAAGCCTGGGATAAGTAATACAAATTTATTTTTGTGTTGTCAGGACACTGTGCCTTCATATACCATGTGCCCATATGGCACTTCCCATGCATGGGATTTGTAAACCTTTCAATTAGCACTGATGGGATAAAGCAGGCAGTTATTTAAAGTAACCCATACGGCATCTTCTGGTGGAAAAATTCCAGCTCCCCTCTACTGGACAGGCTCCCCACTTGGGTGCCCATAAACCCCCCAAAGGTTGTGGAGGAACAATCCCCCAGTTGGGAGGTTCTCCTGGACCAGGGGGGCTCTGGGTACACGTGGTGGGACATCCCAGCCCTCCCACAGGACATTTCCAGGACATTTCCAGGGCAGGAAAACATTACCCAGGTTGCTGCTGTCTTTGGAAGCCCAGCAGATGCAGTAGTGCTGCATCAGTTGTTCAAACAGTTCCTTTTCATCCAGGAATTCAAGGGCTTCTATTCTGCAGGAATAAAATCAAAGTTGGGATTTGAGCTGGACTCTCAGCAGAATTTTTACTGAACTGTTCACTCCAAGGGAGTGAAAAGTATGGCCAGAAAGGCAGGGAATAATCAGAATAATTACAGGTATTTGTCCATGATGCCACCACTGCTCCCACCCCTGCCAATGCACGGAACAAGTGACACACAGGCTGCTTTCAGCTCCTCATCCCTCAATTCCCTGTTCCAGGACTCATCCCTCACAGTACCTGGGATCTAAAGGGGCAAAAGTTCCCAAATGCAGCCCCAGGTGTGAAGGGCTGCAGAGGAACACTCTGGGCAAGATTTTTCTGAAGAAAAAGCCTTTTCCTCAGTGATACTGGAGGACACAGTTTACATAACCCTATTTCCTGGCATGTGGAACAAGTGCAAGGAGCTGAACAGATCCAAGGTAGCCAAAAATGCTGCAGAGAAAGCACGAGCTCTGTGTCTCCACCAGAGCCATATGGTCCCACCACACATCCCTGTTCCTATTTAAACCACCTCTGATTTCCACTCTCACCTGTTCAGTTGCAGGCTTTGAGAAACCCCCATACAGGAATATTTTGACCAAGGTAACTTGGCTCAGCTAATTCCAACCATGAATGACTCACAGCAATTCACATTTCACATTATGTCCCTAAGAAGTTACTCCTTAAAATTTCCCACTGTTTAGCATTTAATGCAGAAATATTAACAAAACCCAGGCAGATCAGTGACTGTTAACAGCCTTTAGTCCCTGCTCTGTGCTCTGAGTTCTGCAGACCCAGCAATCTCCCCCTCATGATTTCAACGTGTCGTGCTTTAACCCCAGGCAAAATCCTCACAAGGAACATCTTGGGGACTGCAAAAAGTCAACACAGAATTTCTGTGCCATCTTCCATCTGCAAATTTCTGTCATGAGATGCCTTCTGTCACACCCAAATAAGCCATCACTGCTTCAGTCTGCTCCTGGCAGTGTTCACCCCCTGGATCATCCATGCAGGCTGGATTATCCTGCAGAGCTGCAGGAATGTTGTGCCTCCCTGGGCAGCACCTGCCTGCAGCCTCCTCTGTCACACCAGGGGATCCCACACTACACAAGGACAGGAAGGACCTTGGAAATGGCATCTGAAGGTGACTCTGGGGTGGTACCTTTTGACATCAGCCTGTGGCAGGAAGCTGTACACCTTCATCATGTCGATGGCACGGGCGTCCTCCCAGCCGTTTGCCAGCAGCCTCTCCCTCTGGAACACAAAGGGCAGCACAGCTCTCACAGGAGTCCAGGGAAAAGCCAGGGCACAGCTTCTCCCCCTCGGGATTTCAGCTGATTGACCTGTCCTTTGAAAGCCCCCAAACTCTTCCCTGAACCTCTGCTGCCGATCCCTGCAGGGCCAGGCAGGGCTGGGCTCTGACCAGGAGGTTTTGTGCAACCACCGACATTCAGCTCTGGGGTGACCTAACTGTGACCTGCCAGGACCTGAAGGAGCCATGGAAATATGGAGAGAGATTGTTTACAAGGGATGGAGTGACAGGACACAGGGAATGGCTCCCACTGCCAGAGGGCAGGGCTGGATGGGATCTTGGGCAGGAATTGTTCCCTGGGAGGGTGCCCAGAGAAGCTGTGGGTGTCCCTGGATCCCTGGCAGTGTCCCAGGCCAGGCTGGACAGGGTTTGGAGCAGCCTGGCACAGTGGAAGTGTCCTTGCCATGGCAGAGGCTGGAACAAGATGAGCTGGAAGGTCCCTCCCACCCCAAACCGTGCCCCCAGCAAAGGGCTCAGTGCCTGCCCCACGGGGCACACACAACCCAGAGCCAGGTTGCCACAGCTCGGTGCCACCCCCAGGGCTGTGTGGCCTCACCTGGGAGTGCAGGGAGCTGCAGAGCTCCACCCCAGCCAGGTTGCAGTGCCGGCGCTGCAGGTTCTCGATCATGATCTGCCCGAAGCGATCCCCCATGTTCACCTCGGGGACACAAAGACACAAAAAGGTTCCCCCTTCCCACCACAGCACAGCCAGGGGGAAAAGCAGGAGCCTGCTCCAACCCTGCGGCTGCCACATCGCAGAATGCACTGGGTGATGGCAGCGAGTGGCACATCCTCACAGCACCTCTCACTCCCCACTGCCTCCTCCTCTTCCTCCTCCTCCTCCTCAGGAGCAGCCCCAGTGCCAGGGGACGGTGCCACTGCCCCCGTGGGCACCAGGGCTGGCAGAGCTGCCTCTGCTTCCAGCTCTCAGCAACTTCCTTCAGCTCTCCAGCAGTGATTTCCAGCTCGGAAGAGGCTGCTCCTAATTCCTGGAGCCACCCAGTTCCCCCGAGGCAGTGTTTCACTTGCACAGGGAGAACCAGAGTTCATGCTGATGTGATTTTTGCTCCACTTTGCCAAAGAACACAGAGGTAATTATGTAATGTTATACACCCAGAGCCAGCACTCAGCATCATTGCTTTTCCCTCTGCTTCAGCTAAATCAATATTCTATGGGGTTTTTTTTGCACATGTGGATTAAGTCTCAATTATTTTGCTTCAACATAGTCCAGAAATTGTCTTTCAGAATTGCTGTATTTTCTCTACAATGAGCTAACCAAGCTCCAAGTTAAAACACATTACTACAGAAACCCAGCAGAAATTGCTGTTTCTACAAAAGGACATGGCCCACTCTCATTCCTCAACAACTCCCACCCACGAGAGCCATTTTAATGACAACAATGCAGCTCTAAAAATGCCCCTTTGGTTTTACCTGCTCATAATTGATAACCATGGCCACGGGGAAGGTGTTTGCTGCCCACCTGAGCAGGTCTGCAGACTGCTGGGGGGTCATGTAAACCAGCACACACTCGGCCACCAGCAGCGTTGGCAAACTGCAAAACAAAACCAAAGCAGAGCATGACTGCCAGCAAAGGAACAAGAAAAAAAAAATCTGCTAAGGATTGGGAGCAAGCAAGTCACTTCATGTCCCCAGAATTTCCTCAAAGAGCTCCATTTTTTATCAACTAGGCACTGAAGAGTGAATGAAATCTCTGCAGCACATTGAGGAAAACTGGGCTTCCTGGCAGCTGTGAATTAATGAAGCACAGGAGACTCCCGTGGTTGTGAACCAGAGATTTTAGGGATCAACCTCCCCAAAGCCAGCCCTGAGCACAGAGCAGAGTTCAATCCCCTCTGCAGGACACACAGCTCACACTCCTGCAGAGATCAGTGAAATCAGGCATTAATTACAAACTGGAAAAAAAAAAAAAAAAAAGTTTTCTCTTTAAAAAAAGTTCTAAGAAGAATTTTAATTAGAGAAATTTGTTCAGTATCTGTAAAACAATCTTCATATATTATTATCTAACAAAATGTAATCTATAGTTTGCACGTTGCCTCTTCCCCCTCCATCCACAAAACAACAAAAATAGACATCCACACAAGTGATTTTCTTCACAATTATTGAGTTTGCTTTTAATTGCTGGAATGAAAGGGGAAAAAAAGTCACTAGAAGCAGGAGAAATTCCACAAGGAGCAGCAATGTAGGCAAGCAAGGCAACATTTCAGAGGATGGAAGTGTAAAGAATTAAATGGCAATTTGATGCATTCTGCTTCCCCATATGCTCTCTCCCACCCAGCCAGATCTCTGCTATTTATATTGCTTACATTTGAAAGGTCTGTCCATCATCCACTCAGAAACTCAACTCCTGCCCCCCCAAAGCCTCATGTTGAACAAGAAAACCCCAGAGGAGCTCTGGGATTCAGATCCAAGGGCTCCACTGCAGTCCAACCAAAAGGTTTAGGGAACAACAAGGGGTTAAGAGGAGGCCAGAGAAAATAATGAGATAAAATTCAGAAATCCCAGAATCCTGGGATGGATCACAGAGAGCACCCAGTGCCATGGGCAGGGACACCTCCCACTATTCCAGCTCCAAGCCCTGCCCAACCTGGCCTTGGACAAGCAAGGCCCCATTAAAAAAAAACCCAATTAAAACCCTGTGATTTTACTGTATATATCAAAACCCTATGATCTTACTGTATGTAATAAAAAAAATATATATCAAAACCCTATGATCTTACTGTATGTATAAAAAAATATATATATATCAAAAGCCTGTGATCTCACTGTAGATATCTGTATCTACCAAAACCCCTCAGATCTTACTGTACATCCAAGCCATGTTTCTTTAGCTTTTCCTCCAGGTCTGATGAGAATCGAAGATCTGCTCCCACTATGGAATATCGACTGGAGTCCAGGCTGTGGGAATCTGCCAGGCAGAAATTTGGAGAGACAAACATGACAAATGAGAAGGATGCTGGAGTTGTGAATCAAAAAAAAAAAAAAAAAAAAAATTTACACAGGAACACAGGAACTGGGAGCCAAAGTTCAGTCAGTTACACCAAACTATGAGCAGCAAACTCCTTTTTTTAAAAGATGAATTTTCCCTTCCTGGTTGTGTTTTGCAGGGCTCCATCACCAGCAGACCCTGCACTGAGGCTCCTCTCTCCCTCTGCAGCCATGCTGAAGCAGAGAGGTTATCCCAGCTGTTACCATGGTTTCCAGGAATGCAGAGAGAAGAAAAATGGGAAGATTAAAGGCAGGATTTTTGTTTTGTTTGGAGAGTCTTCTTAGATGGCCCGATGTATGTACATAGGAACTATATAAAAGTACATCCATTTCTGAAAAACGAAGCTAAGTGACAATATTTCAAATATTAACAACAGATACAGCCATATAAATTAGCTATACATGTAATTATATAACAAATATAGGGAGCAGACACAGACTTGGGGCCTTTGGGTATGATTTAGTGGTGGTACTTAAGGAAAGAGTCAAATTAGAGAAGGTATTCTGAGCAACAGATATTCCCTTGGGATAGAGCAGGATCCTGTGGGTGATTCCCAGCATGAAGCAGAGACAAACCCCAGAGGCCAAGGAGCCCCTGGCACAGCTGGCACAGCTGGCACAGCTGGCAGGAGCAGCCTGCCATCAATAATGGTGACAGGCAGCAGCAATGGATGCAGCCAGAGGAGCCCAGGGGCCACAGCAGGCACCTCCCCAGGGTTCCATCTCACCCAGCCACTGCCCAAGTCCTGCAGGAGCACTGGGATGGCTCTGGGACATCTCAGCTTTCCTGCACGGGACTCCAGACCTCCCTGGGCAGCCCCTTCCAGTGCCTGGTCACCCTTTTCCATGGAGAAATTCCAACCTGAGCCTCCCCTGGCACAGCCTGAGTGAGGAGACAAGAGAGTCCAAGTGGCTGGAGGGGCAGAATGAGAGGAGTTTCCATTTCAGGAGAAGGAAACAAAAAAAACTGGGGACAAGTGTGGGTTTTCCCAATTGATCCAGCATTGCAGAGGATGCACCTCTGCTCAGTTTTCAAGTGACCAACTCCTTGAAAGTAGCACTAGCCACAATAGCTGCCATTCCAGCAACACTTGGGAGCAGATCCAGGAATCAGAAACAGTTCAGAAAAAGAGTTACAAGGGAAGAAAAGAGAAAAAAAAAAAAAAAAAAAAAAAAAAAAAAAAAAAAAAAAGTTGTGCAGTATGTTGAATGATTCAACATTTTGAGTCAAGGTTTTTTTCCATGTGCATGTTCTGTAATAGCTTTACTACTTCCCACACCCTTCTATTTAAGTGATTACATCAAGGCCATGATAATGGCATCAAAAAAAGCCACCCAAAAACCCCACCACACACAGGGAAGTGTTTAAATAGGGTTGGTTTCTGTCCATGGATACAGCACAGCGAGCGTCAGCCACCACAATTAGTAGGGAATTAATGCCAGCTCCCTGTCCAGCTTTGGAGGCTTGGACACACAAATACAGCACTGCAGAACAGAAATAAAAGCCAGAAATAAACCACAAAACTTTTTAAGTGCTCCAGAAGAAGAGCACAGACTCCAAGGTGGAAGTAAACGTGTTTTGCTCATACCACACTGATTCACCATTTTTGTCATAAAATCCTGAATTGCTTTGGGTTGGAATGGACCAGAGAGATCATCCAGTGCCACCCCTGCCATGGCAGGGACACCTCCCACTGTCCCAGGCTGCTCCAGCCTGGCCTGGGACACTGCCAGGGATCCAGGGGCAGCCACAGCTGCTCTGGGAACCTGTGCCAGGGAAGGATTTCTCCTCAGTATCTCACCTCGATTTCCCTCTTTTGAGTCTCATCAGACTTAACCAGGCAAACTTGAACTGCTCCATCACCTCCCCCTTAGGGAGCAAACAATCCCTGACTGCAGGGCAGTGTCCCTGTCCCCAGCCTGGAGGGCAGAAATCCAGAAATCCACCCACAAACATCCCCAAAACTGCTGGGCCATGGTCTGGCACCAACTCCTACCTTATTGCAGAGCTGGAGATTCCTGGGGCTGTGCTGGGATGTTCCCTGTGGGTCCCTTCCCACTCAGGACATTCTGTGAAGTATCAAAGTGAGCAATCTGCTGCCTTGCTGCAAATGGATTTTACAATTCCTGCCCATCCACGGGGCAGCTGGAAAAAGAAAACCAAGTTCCAGCCTGGCAGCACAGCCACGTGGTCCCCATTGATTTCCTCTGAGGAACAAGAGTTTGTTTTAACTGAATTGGTTTTGTGAGTGTGTTCAAACCCCTCTGTTCATTCTTGCTGCAGTGCTGTGACTCAGGCCAGCTGCCCTAGTGCTGGCACAGCCAGTGACATTTGGTGGCTTAAAGCACTGAAAATTCCATATTCCAGGCACTAATTCCTACCCAGGCACCACCACCTCGTGTTGTTTTTTTAGTGAGATTTTTGTTTGGGTGGGTGTTCCCCTCTAGAGCTGCCCTGGGCATTTGTGTGATGCTCACACCCAGCCAGGTACAAAGATTCTCTCTGCACTTGGCTGAAATGAAGGTTTGAGAAACACCAAACTCAGATTTAATTTGAGAAATACAAGAGAGGGGATGGAGAAGGATGAGCCCCACACCCCAGGCAGGCTCAGCTCTCCAGGAATAATCAATAGACAATGCTCTGCCCTGGCCACACGCTCTGTGTTTGTTTGCCGTGACTTTGGCACAGAGGTAACAACACAAACGGTTCAAATGTCACAGTCACAGAGCAAGATAAGCTCGTAGGAACTGAGCAGTAGCAGGAGCTGCTTCTGCTGCCTTTTGACCTCAGCACATCGAATCTTTTCTTCCCAGCACTGTTAGGAGAAGAAACTGCAGGGCTGGAGGGAGGCCCCAGGCCCTCCCAGCTGCTGGGGCAGCACTGCAGCCTCCAGGCACACCCAGCTCTGCCACAACAACTCGGCTTTCCTCTCTTACTCTCTTCTCACATTAGTGCAACAATTTCCTGGAGGTTTTCCAAGAGACAGCATGCAGGATACTATCGACTCAAAGAGATTTCATTAGGATTTTCATGCTAAGGTATCTCTGGCAGCTTTTACACAAAGCAGCAGCCCCTGCAGCCCAGCAGGGCACTGCCACACACTCAGCTGGTCCTGGGAGCTCAGGGCCAGCCCCTGACACTCACACTGGGTCACAAGAAAGTCTGGGATGGAGGAAAACTGAAATAATCGAGTGCCCAAGCTGGCCTAGACAGGGCAGAGGTGTGAGGGGCACACATGGGAACAGCTCACCAGGTACAGTTTACACCTGCCAAGGTCACAGAGGTGCAGCACTGCCCTCCCAGCACAGCAGCACCCACCAGGCAGTGCCAGTGAACGTGGAGAACACCGTGCTGGGGTGCTGCCACAGGGATGTCCCTGCTGTCCCTGGGGCTGTCCAGTCACCACCTGCATTCCTGGGCACCAGCTCTGGCCACTGCCCAGCTGCCCTGATGCTGTGAAGCTGTGCTGGCACAGCTCTGTGTTGGCACAGCTCTGTGTCATCACTAAACCCAGGGTGAGCAGAAAAGCAGTGAGAGAATCTAAATTGTGTCAATCCAAAACCCAAATTCCAAACAATCTAAACGAATCGTTCCTGGTGGAGCAGACACAGGAGTGTGAGCTGCTGTGGGGAGCAGGCACAGGAGGGACAGGATTCTAAAATCCTGCTCCACATCCTACAGAAATGTGTAACATTTCCCTACCTGGCACTGCTGCTCCCCTGTGCCAGGTGGGATCCCACAATACTGCACAGCCTAAGAGCAGAAGCAGGTCAGAGCAAAGGTCTCCCTAGGATGACACCCAGCCTTCCAGAGGCCAACAGCAGCTCCAAAGGGAAAAGTCTAAGAGAGGAAACACCTACCAACACTGGCATTAAAGTTGTTTTCTAGCATTTTCTCAAAAATACTTAAAATTACTTTGTATTTCTGGACCATTAGTGAGCTCATGCTTTCATCCAGCTATTTATTCTAATACCCAGATCCTGCAGGAAGGCAGCAATAATCATTTACATGTGAGGCACAAACTGTTTTTCCCCCCATGTGCATCACTTTCTATTAATCCACATTGAAATCATCATCAAGTCACTAATTTCACAAGATACTTCTACAGTTCTTTTCCACTCTTCAGAGTTCAGATTTGCCAACAAGCTGCCACTTACTAATCACTATTTTCCCAAATTTTTCTTAGTGTTGAACAACAACATATCCTCAAGCACAGATCTCCATCTCTTCCATAACAAAAATGAACAACATATGCTGGCCCTCCATCCCAGCTCCTCATCCATATGAGAACCATTCCCTCCCCACAACCACTGTGCCATTTCTCTGGCACACTTTGGCATGGGACACAGTCAAAACACATTCTTGAAATCCCAGCACTGCACTGATGTCCTTTTCCCATAGATATGTTGACTTGGAGAGCTCCAACAGATGTGGGAAGCACAATTTACCTTTCCAAAAGCCACGGTGACTCTTCCTCAACACTCCCTGTGATCCCTGTGCTCCACGAAGTCTGTCTGTTAGATGTGTTCAGCACAGACATCACTCCTGCTGCCTTGGGGTTCCCTGGATTTGCCACCCTGAGCCACAACCCTGCAGCTGCAGGCTGTCCCATGGGAGGGCACAGACCGACCAGCAGCTGAGTCAGGTCCTTTTAGGTGTGTAACAACTCCCTGCTCACCTGTTTGGTTTATCTGCCTATCCCAGCACCTCTTCTGGCACTTGCATTCAGTGATCCTTAAAGCAGAGCTCACAGGGATCTGTGCCTGGGGCTCAGTTCAAACCACAGCTCCACAACACCTCCAACATGTCCTGGACCTGCTGCTCCATCCCAAAGACCTTGGGGCAGCAGAGCTACACCTGCAGGGCTGGGACTCTGGAGCTTTAACAGCCAGCACTGAGCAGGAAGCAGAGCAGCAGCTCCAGGGGAACCAGTGTGACCAGTACAGCCCAGTGAACAGACTACAGCCTGCACGGTCTGCAGGTGTTCTGCTGCTCCAGGTGTACCTGCAGCTCCTCAGGAACACAACACAGACCCAGGGGTGCCTCTGGGACACTGCAGATCTCCCTGGGGACAGGAGGGGAACCCAGGGGTCCTCAGGAACCTTTTTTCTCAGCTGGGGCTCTGGGCTTTCATCTTTGGGGGCCTGAGGGTACAAAGGAGAACTCTGCCCTCCAAAGGACACCTGCAGGGCTGGGAAGTGAAGACCCAATCATGTGCAGCAATAAAATCTGCAGAGCCTGGGCTGGAACTGTGCCCATGGAAGGGGCCACAGGTGGGCACAGCAGGCTCTGCCAGGGTCACACCTGCCCACACAGAGCAGTTCTGTGCTGCATGTGGGAATTGCTGCCCCTCCTAAATTGTCCAAGGCAGCTGCAACACCTCAGCATCTGCACTGAGAACACCGACTCAATGGAATCCAGGGAATTTTCCACAAGTAAAAAGGTTTTCAAGTGCAGTCCTGACACAAACATACAATTACAGAATGGCTTGGGCTGGGAGGGACCTTAGAGATCATCCAGAGCCACCCCTGCCATGGCAGGGACACCTCCCACTGTGCCAGGCTGGCCTTGGGCACTGCCAGGGATGGGGAGTCCAGAACCTTCTGTTCCAACGAGGTCAGAAACCAAGAGAGTACAACCACACCACAGCACCCGAAATTATTATCCTTTTAATACCAAAATGCAACAAACAGCACTGGCTCGTGAGCCTGGACTGTGCATGCTGTGTTTCTGCTGTGAGAAGTCTGCTAAATGTAAAGATTTGTGCTCTTAATGAGACAGAAAGCAGATAAACACTCAACAGATATTTTCATCCAGTATCCATGCCTCTCTGTAGCACTTTTTCTTTTCCTGTGACAGAAAAGGAGCTACATATGAGAGAAAAAGAAAAAACCCAACAACTTTCTGCCAGAATAAAACCATTTAAAGAGAAGACATTTCCAACATGACACAGAACAAATGGGCAGGAGTCTGTAAGAAGAAAAAAAGCCTCTTTTCCCTCCCAATTCTCTGTCCAAACAGCATTTCAAACATTAAAAGCCTGCCCACATAGCAGAACAAAATGATCAGAAAAGTTTTAAAAGTGCTGCAGTACATCACTGACTGAGTTTGAAGATGACTCACCTATTAGAAGAGAGTCCCCTGAATGGGATTCCATAATTGGTTTTGACAGGGGAGGTTTTGATCTGTGGGAAGAAGGAAGAAGCATCTCAGAGCAGTTAAGCCTGTTTAACAGTGTGCTTACAGCTTTTTTTCTTAACATATATCTATATATATGTGTGTGTCTGTGTGAGTGTGTGCCAAAAGCAGCCAAGGGAATATCTCTGCCCTCTGCTGGAAAACCTTTGCAAGTTTGAAGTTGGAGCTGAGTTTTATACACAATTCCTTTAAGTTTTGAGAGAATCTTTCAAGAGAAATCCAGGTACTCTGTAATGTGTCCTCAACAACCCTTAATGGATTCATTCCTACAGGATATTCCCATGCAGCAGCAGCGTTGTTGCCTCCAGCTGAACGGGCACAGCTCTTCAACAGCAAGAGAAAACTTCAAAACTTCATCAGCTTTAATTGTCAGGAGACTGTCCCTGCACAGAGCAAGCTCTGCTTGGCTCCCTAAAGCCTTCACACATCACCCTCTCCAGCCTGGGACCCTGCCTGCACAATGAACAGGCCTGGAATGGTTTGGGAAGGACCTTAAAGCCCATCCAGTGCCACCCCTGCCATGGCAGGGACACCTCCCACTGTCCCAGGCTGCTCCCAGCCCTGTCCAGGGACACTTCCAGGGGCAGCCACAGCTGCTCTGGGCACCCTGTGCCAGGACCTCACCTCCCAGAACATGAGGGGTTTCTCAGAAGATGAAATATTGGCACTGAGTGACAGTCACAGGCCTCACACTTACTTGATATGATGGATTTTTCTTGCAACGATCATAGGAAAATCCACTTCAAAATATTTTCTAGGGAGAAGGTTTTCATCCTGGGAATTGGAGGGAAACATTAGAATTAGGGACACTCAAGTTTCACTTGTACAGGACAAGACAGAACCTCAAATCCTGAACAGATCTGGTTTGGCTTGTGCTGGCACTTGTAACAGGTATAACAATGTCCCACAGTTTAAAACCCCCTAAAATCCTACAAAAAGCAGCTGAGAGACATTCGAATGCTCTCTAAGAATGAAAGAAATTATTTAACACATTATGTAATCACAGAATCCCAGGACAGCTGGGCTTGGAAGGGACTTTTGGAGCTCCAGTCCCAGCCCTGTCCAGGCAGGGTGACCCAGAGCAGGTGACCCAGAACCTGTCCAGGTGGGGCTGGGATGTGTGCAGAGAGGAGAAGGATTTTGATGCCAGACACCAGCCCAGCAAACACACTGCAGCCATGTACTGTGTGCATCTGGGAGAGCACAGCAACAGCAAACTGCCACAGCATCCACCACGATTTCCAGCACAGCCTTCCAGGGGAAGAACCAGGGATGTTTTGCACAGTTTCACCCAGACAGTGACCCATCCCAGCTCTCCTCCAGCCCACAGCACACCAAGAGCCTGCACTACAAGAGGGGAAAGCTTTTCATCCCGTGTTGGCACAATCTCCCAGCCTGCTGGGGAAGCTGTGCCAAGGCTCTCCCTGTGCAGCAATCCCTTTGTGCTGGATGCTGCTGCCTGTTCTGGCTCTCAACCCGTGGGTTTTTGATGTGGAACCAGCACTCAGAGCATTCAACACCCCAGGAACTGGATCCCAGCTTCTGCACATTCATTACACCACACCTGCTCTCTGCAAGGACAAAGAATTGGAATTACAGGCCCCAGTTCAGCTGTTAAAATCACAGGATATTGGCAGAGCTTTGATAGGAATGAAGGTAAGATAAAAGCTTCACATCTCAGAAAAAAACAAATTGTCTCCCTTCCACTGTTAGAACACAATGAATTGTGACCAAGGAAAATGCTCCTCAGGCTTCCCTCCAGAAGCCAAATTTAGCAATGTAAATGCTAATGAGAAGAAAATTCAGAGGTGTGTTCACCCAGAAAGATACTATCATACAACACCTGAATAACTGAATTTCCATGAATTACACACACAAACACAAACACTCCTGTATATGGAACAGGCTGCCCAGAGCAGCTCTGGCTGCCCCTGAATCCCAAGGCCAGGCTGGATGGGGCTTGGAGCACCCAGGGATGGTGAAAGGTGTCCCTGCCCACAGCATAGGGTGGGACTGGCTGATTTCCCAGATTCCTTCCAAACCACTCTGTGATTCCATGATTTCCATAAATAAACTCACAGCTGGAATCCCAGTGGGGAAAGTGAGGCAGCACAGGGAGAGACCCTGCACTCATCCCTGGTGAGCCACAGCTGCAGGGCCCAGTCCTGACCTCCAGGAAAGACAGGGAGCTGCAGGAGAGGGTCCAGCAGAGGCCACAGACATGGTTTGGGGTCTGGAGCATCTCTGTGGTGAGGAGAGACTGCAGGAGCTGGGCCTGGTCAGTCTGGAGAAGGGAAGGCTGAGAGGGGATCCCCTCAATCCATACAAATCCCTCCAGGGTTGTCAGAGGATGGTGCCAGACTCTGCTCAGGGACAGGACGAGGAGCAGTGGCCAGAAACTCAAACACAACAAGTTCCACCCCGACATGAGGAAGAAGCTCTTTCCATGACAGAGGGAAGAGCAGAGCCCTGACATGGCAGAGCCTGGAGGGTGTGGAGTCTCCCTCAGGAGACATCCCAAACCCACCTGGACACGTTCCTGTGCCACCTGCTCCAGGTGACCCTGCCTGGGCAGGATGAGCTCCAAAGGTCCCTTCCAAGCCCTGCTATGCTGGGATTGTGTGAGAGCTCCTGCTGTGCTGTCCCCCTGTGTGGCAGAGCAGCCCCTGTCCCCAGCCTCGCTGTCCCTGCAGCCCTCATTACCTTCAGCCTCCAGAACAGGGTGTCCATGCCAGCCCCAAGATTCACAATCTGGCAGTTGCACTCTGTCTTGTCCAGGAAAGCCTTGATCAGGTAACTGACCCCGTGCACACGAGCATAATAACCTGCACATAATAATAATAATAATAATAATAATAATAATAATAATAATAATAATAATAATAGTACACAAAGCCTGGGGAGTTAGCACTGTCACATAATACTCCATGTCTAACACTCATGGGTATCTTTAGGCAGTCTGTAGGATGAATAATGCTCTCTTTTTAACATACCTAAGTGCTTTTGTTTTTCTTTTTTAATTACAAACAAAACCTCGTGCACTGATAAAACTCAGCTCCTTGGGTAAATACAAGTTTTAGTCAAGTTTCATCTCAAGCAGAGCAGAGTAATTCTACACTTGCAGAGACTCAACTGTCCTGGGTCAAACCAACATTTCTGACTGCTTTGAGGAGATCCCTGCACTGGGACACACAGAGACAGCCCATTCAGAACACAGAAAGCAAAGGAAGAGGGGTTTGATTCACAGATTGATATTTAAAAGATCATTTACAGCATGGAATTACTGCTGTGAAGAAACCTTGTCTCATTCTTTCACACACTCCCTCTGCTCCCTAACTCCCAGTGTGCAGGGGTTTTGTCAGGACAGCTGAGGTGTCCCCATTCCTGCTCCAACTTGCCTCTGTTGATCTCAGGTGCTTTCCTTTCTTTGGCTTGTCTCACAAAATACTGGATGTAAGGGTCCTTCCAGTAGCCAACACTCACAGCAAATCTGTACAGCAGTAGGGAAAAGAGAATTATTAAATAAGGCCACCAGAATTTACCCTAAAAGATATATAGGCTGGAAAGGTTCCTTTGGCCTGGGTGTGCACATGCAGACATGGTTTAAAAATTTGTTCCATGAATGGAACTATTTGAATTAAGAGATTATATAAAGTTTAGTTAGAAATTTTAGCTGTTTCCATATTCAACAGGCATCTTTTTAATGGCCTCTTCACTATTGGACAAAATTTTGTGAGCAAAGATCCAGATCTCAAATATTCCCTCTTGGGGGACCCAGAAGATGAATTGCCTGTCTCCAGCTCCTCAGACACACAATTCAGCCTTTACTTCTCCACACTGTTATGTGACAAGGTGTTTGCATTTATTCCAGAGCTCCTACACATCAATTTAGCACAGTGCTACTCTGTTTTAACACAACTTATGAGTTAGTTTTACAACTGAAAACTCTCCAGCCAATCTCAACCACCCAACGACCTGCTGCTCCAAAACCCAAAGCAACCAGCAAGAACAGAGATTAAATTCCCACCCAGACACAAGAGGGCAACGAAACTCATCCCCCTGGCAGTGCCCATCCCGCAGGGAGAGAAGGAAAGAAATCTGAAAAACACCGAGCTGGTTTTTGGCTGAGATACCAAAAACTGCCAGAGGTTATTGGCTGTGGCCAGCAGTGGCCGCTGGTTTATGGCCAAGCCCCGGGCAGGGCTCGGCAGCAGCGGGGGAGGTTTGGGGGACCCTGGGGCCGGTGCTTGGAACGGGGAACTCGGGGAATTCACCCGCACACACCGGGACCAGCTCCGAGTGGGACACACAGAGACACCGGGACAGGGACACCGGGACGGACCGGAGAACACACAGAGACACCGGGACAGCGACAGAGACACCGGGACAGGGACACCGGGACGGACCGGAGAACACACAGAGACACCGGGACACACCGGGGCCACTCCCCGAGAGCCGCTCGAGCCTCGCCCCCCCCCACTGCCCATCCCCTCCGCGGGGCCGTGGCCGGTGTGGAGTGACACCGGCGGCACGGCCCGGCCCGGCCCGGCCGCTGGCCCGGCTCCGGTACCGTTTGCAGACGGACGCGTCCTCGCACGTTCCCCGCACCGCCTCGTCCGCCTCGTCGGGGCCGGCAGCGGCCGCCATGGAGCGCGCGGGGCCCGGCCGCTGCCACCGCCCTACGGCCCGCCCCCCGCCGCCTCTCATTGGGCAGCGCCCGGCGGAACTCGGCAGCCATTGGTCCGCGCCCTCATTAATATGCACAGCGCCCAATGAGAGCGCGCGGGGCGCGGCGCCTCGCCCAGGAAGCGGCGGCGGTAGCGCAAGGCGAACCGGGAGCTGTAGTCCAGGAGCCGCTCGGCGCTCCCAGAGCGGGATGCGGGGTTGGGGCTGTCCGCGGACGGGCGATCCCTCCAGGCAGCTCGGTCACAGAGCTCCTGACAGAGCAGCAGCGCCCGGCAGCACCGAGAGAACGGCGCGGGAGGATCCGCAGCGCTGAGCAGCAGCGCTGGGCGGGACATCCGGCCTGGGGGCTCCGATCACGCGGTCGGAGGGGCCGGGCCGGAAGCGGCGGGGGCCGGGCCGGGCCGGGCCGGGCGGGCGGTGCTGGGGCGGAGGAGGTGGTGGCGGCGGGGCCGGGGGTGGCCGGGGCAGAGCGGCGGGGCCCGGGCAGCCCGGGGCAGCGGCCGCCGCCATGAAGAAGCAGTTCAACCGCATGAAGCAGCTGGCAAACCAGACCGTGGGCAGGTGGGCGGCGGCGCCTCAGGCGGGTCGGGGCGCGGGGGGCTCCGCTCCGCAGTGCCGGCCCCGCGGGGCCGTTCGGGGGGCGAAGCCTCGGGGGGGATCGCGGGGAAGCGGGCGATGGGGAGGGAGGCTCGGTCCGAGGCGGTGCCGGGGCTCTGCCTCGCCGGTCCGGGGGTCGCAGGCACGCCGGGGATCCGGGAGCCCTCGGGGGTCCCCAGCCCCGCAGCGCCATCTGCATCGGGCGCTTCTCGGCTGCGCTTCGCTGCTTTCGTTTCCTCTCTGCCGGCGTCACTATCGAGGTGTTTGCTCTGTTTCTCGCTTTCTCTCACATCTAAGAAGACTTCAGAGAGTGCCTTCTCCAGGACTTCATTTGCGTCCCCAGGACTTAATTTTAACAAACCTAACAGGAGCCCTGTAGGTATGATTGTCACCAGTTTCCAGCTGTCGGAGTACGGGAAGGTTTTTAACTCGTTTCGGTAGCAACAAATCTGTGCCCAGACAGGGAAGTGTCCTGCAGCTGTCCCTGAGCTAAACATGCAAATGTCACCACACTGCTTTTCTAGCAGAAGTCAGTTCTTCCCTGCAGAAACTTCCTTCTGCTTTCTGTAGAGATTCAAGGTGAAAATCAGTTCCTATATTGAGAGTAAAAAATGAAAGTCTGTACTGATACTGAAAGTATAAACTTATTATCTGAGTTTATGGCTTGGTGTCCTCCTTTCCAGTAACTCCCTTTATGGGGTGTTTATTTTCCTTGGAGCCCACACAACCCAGGGCAGGTGTGCCAGCTAATAAAGCCTAAGGAGGAGATTTTTAATAGGTTTGTTTTGCTATTAAAGAGGGAACAACTTCCCAACCAACCTTGTCCTCTCGTTCCTGTTTCATATGAATCAATGAATTTTTTTTACGTTGTTGGAGAGATTATTGGCATTCGCTGTTTGCGCGTGTCAGCCCCACAGCTCCAAATCCCGAGTGGAATTTGGAGTAATCCGGGTTGTACTGAGCGGGATCAGCAGCTCGGGGTGCTTGGTGCTGCAGCTGTGAGTGGAACGTGTGGAGCTGTGATGGGAGCTGTGGGTGGGGAGGCTGGCACTGACCTTTGCCTTTGGTGCAGGTGAGGGCTGCAGGGTGCTGGGGTGTGGTGTCTGGGCAGGTTCCTGTCACACACCCGTGCCGCGGAGTCTGGGGTGCCCTGGCAGCCTGGGCATGCACCCAGGGGTTTCATTAAATGCAGACACTGCTGTCGTTGGTTCTCATTAAAAACTGTGTAAATGACACTGAGCCATGTGGTTTTATATGTTTGATATTCATTAATTGTGATGATTTCATCTTGCTCACATTTCTTGTGCTAGGTAAGCATTCCTGAAGTAATGTAATCATTCAGGGCCTGATTTTGGTTCCCAGAATAGGGATGGGTTCTAACAGGTTTCACTTTCAGGTGTCAGGGCTGAGGCTCTCAGGTTTGGTTTGAGAAGCTCTGCAGGACTCACAGAAGACGTGACAAGCACTCAGCAGGATCTCACAGGCAGTGCTGTGTGTTCTGTTGGGTTGTATTCTGTTCTGTTGAGGTGGTACACTCGTTAATTAGTTTTTTTGCTCTGGGACTGCATGAGAAGACAAGTCCTGCCCAGGAGGATCGCTGTGGTTGTGTGGATGCCTGGAGAGGTGATGGCTCCGTGTCTGAAGGTCCTGGCCCATGGGGAGCCTGCAGGGAAGGAGCTGCTCCCCACGAGAAGCAGTGCTGGGAGATGAGTTTGGGATCTGTGCAGAGGGGTCACATCCCCCGGGGCTGATCCCTGCCTGGCTGCTGTGTTCCCTGGCTCTGTGTTTGGAAGGGATTTCTCCTCCTGCTCTGCTTTTTCCCTCCCTCAGAGCTTGCTGGGGTGTGGAGGAGCAGCCTCGTTGCCCTGGGGTCAGCAGGGCTGGGTGTGCAGCAGCAGCACCGTGGGGTTGGTGCCTTAATGAGGCAGGGATGGCACTGCCCTTCTGCCGGGCAGCTTCCAGGGCTGCCATCCTGTGCCTTGCACCCCAAACATCACAGCTGGCATCAGGGAAGTGACACCTTCAGAGGGGAAATAACAAAAGATGGGCAAGAGCTCCATCAGAGCCAAGGAATGGCGTTTATGAGAAGCCTGTGAGTCCATGGACAGAATTATATGGAGTTATGAAATCCATGTAGGAAACTAATTAAAGAGGGGATTAGCTCAGTGGAATAGGATTCCACAATAATTAATAGATGTGTTAAATATTTTGCAGCAATTATCTCATGGATGTTCTTGGCTGCCTTAAGTGTTCAATCTGCTGCTGAGGACTTTATATTTCATGTATTGGACAGATTTGTTGTCAGTGCTGCTGAGGGGAGCAGCACAAGCTCTGAGGAACCTAAAAAATGAAATATCAGAGCTTGGGCCAGGTGACTGAGACACAGCCTGGCACTGGAGGTGGCATCACAACATTGTCAGGACAGTGTCAGCTGGAGGAGGGAACTGGGAGTCCCAGTTGGTGCTCCTGGCATCCTAAAGCCTCTCACATCCAGTCAGGATAATTCCCAAAAAGCAGGGCTGGGACAGGTGAGCAGAGGCAGGGCTTGCCAGGAAATCATTAGTTGAGCTGGATTAATGCATTGCCACAAAGTGGCATCTTGCCCAGGGCTGATCACCCAGAGGAACAAACCCAGAGCTGACTTTATCTCGAGCTGCATCCTGAATCCAGCTGCAAACAGCTGGGGAGCTTTAGTTAGGCTAAAAACAAAATTAATTGGGGAGGGAGTGGAGAAGAAAGGGATGACTTTAATTCTGAACTTGGTGAATTCCAGGTGGCCTGTGATTCCTTAGAGGCCACGTGCTGGGATTGCTTTTTCATATTCATGGGATTTCTGTCCTAATTCCTCTAAACCCTCATCTCTTGGGATGCCCAGGGCTTGGGAAGAGCTGTGTGTGTGCTTGGCCTGGGCACAGAGCCCTAGAAATGGCAGCTGTGGGCTGGTTTAGGACGTGCTGGCTCAGATTTGGGGAGGTGAGGTTGTGCTCCCTTGGGGTGTTCCTGAACAGATCCTCGCTCCAGCACAGCACCTGAGTGTTAGGCTCAGGAATTTAAATGTTACGTTTGATGTCAGCAAAGTAATTCTTCAGGTACCTACAAGGGCTTGTCTTGGTTTCCGTGCCCTTTTGTAAATTACAAAGGAGACAGATTTGATTAGAAGCTTGGGAATATTCTCCTTTATAGCTGCAGTCATCCCTAATGAAAATAAATGTTCAGAGCTATTGTCATCAAAGCTTTGCACTGATACACTAATAAGCATTTGAACTGCATAGCTGAGTAATTTCCATGAGGAATGAGCCCATGGAGAGGTCTGGATCGTGCTGTGTGCTTACAGAGCTCAGGTTGGTAATTAATGACATTTCAGGCTGTGACAATCTCCACGAGTTGGGCTTCCAGCCTCTGGGGACCAAGTGCTGCTGTTGTTGTTGTTGTTGCCATCAGGTTCTTTCTTCATCCTTGAGGTGCAATCCCCGAGTACCATTCTGATTAAAAATGATTCCAGACAACTGCTGGGGAGGTTTGGGTGTGCTGAAGTCACCCCAGATCACACAGGTGGATTTTCTTACTGCTTCTGCTGAGAGAGATACTCGATCTGCCCCGAGGCTCTGGCAGTAATTTAAACCAGGGACAGGCAGCTCTGACTAATTAGAAATCTGGAAGAGCCCACAAAGGGCCTCAGAAGGCTCTGGTTTTATGCAAGAGCCTGACTTGCTGTAGCTTCTGTGCTCGTTTCCCACTGCCCAAATACAATTCCTTGTGTACAAATAGGTTTTTCCAGGCCCTGTACTCATGGCATTGCTGTGACTCACCAGCAGTTTTGGAACATGGCTTTTAATAGCTCATGTCCTGCATAAAAGTTACTGTGCTGAACTATATTTAGTGTTTCTTCAAGCCCCTTGGCAATGTGTGAGTCTTGGGTTGGAACTGGAGTTGTAACATAATTATTGCATTGAAGTAAGTTATGTTAAAATGTCCGATATTGAAATATTGTACATTATTGAAATATTGCCTGCATTTATCTGTACATGGAAAACCTGCTGGAAAGCAATAATTTCTAGTAATAGTTCATGGAAAATGTAGATGGTCCAAATTATTCCTTTTTTTTTTTTTTTTTTTGTGCTAAAGCATTATCCATTGATTCTTGTCTTTCCCGGAATTGTTCTGCATGTTATTACTTAAGGAAGGTTTTTCTGCTTCTTCATGTTGTGTTCATACTACTTTGAAACTCGTTTTTTCAAGTGTCCAGGGTGGTAAAAGAAGAGAGCATCCATCTCTCTCAATACTTCCATCAATATAACATTAACCCTACAGTGCCATTTAATATCAAAGAATTTCTTCTTTAATGTTGTTCTGGTTTTATGTGGGGGAAAAAAATTGCACATGACCCGAA